CACTATTTTTCTTCTTGTTCTTCTCCAAACAGTTGACTCTTGTTATGACTCCATCACCATGTGTAATCCAGGTTTTAAAACTGAGTTGACCATAAGCTGTGTATTTTAATTGTCCACAGCTAATATACTTACAATCTTAAATCTCCCCTTTCTGTCCACAGAAAGTAAGCAGGCAATGAGAAGATGAATAAATGGGAGTGCCCAGCTCTTGCTGCTGTTGGAGATGAGGGGAGAGAGAAATATTATGCAGTTGCTTCATAAAAATAAGCTGGATTCTTCAGAAAAGGAGTGGCTAACCACAGTAATCACATTTACATTGTGGTCTCCAGAGAAGTCCTCCTCAGAGTTCTGACACTTCTGCAGTACTTTCACTCCTTGCTGCTATTTGCTGAATATGAAATCATAAGGATGTGTTACTGTGTTTAAGGATGTCATGCAGAAAAGGAACTTCCCTGAATCTGGCACATGATGACAGTCTTACAAACTTTGCAAATTACTGCATGAAGAAGAGAAAAAGATTGAGCATGTGTACACATGTTGTTTCTGCTAGGAGTCACTGATGAGCTTAGTAATCAGGCTTGTTTAATGGTGAATCATAACCTGCTGCTGACTCACTGTCAGGACCATATATACTTTGGGTCAGCCACACAATCTAGAAATGGGATAGAACAGTATGTCTTTGCAACAGGAGACCTGCAGATTGCTGTCAGTATCCTTCTGAAGTGGCTGAGCTTCTCAGCTTCTGCTGGACATTGTTGCTGAGAAAATCCCTAGAAGTACCTATGAATTAAAGGCTTTGGGATCTAAAGATGTCCATCAGTGTACCTAAAAAGCCTAAATAGAACCTGTAAATTTCAAAGCATCTTTTAACTTGTGATAGCATCAGTGATTAAAGAGACAGCAGGAGAGCCATGCAGTTAAGCAGCCACTTTCTGATCATGAAATTCACAGCTCATGTAAAACCAGACAGCGCTGACAGGGAAAACACAAACCACTTTTCAAATCAGCCCTTAATCTTTCTGCCATCTTCTATGGTAAACACAATTATCTCCACGTTTAAGCCACAGAAGCTAAGGCAGATAGTTGAAGTGAACTGACCAAAGACTCCTAGGCACAGAATTCACAGACTGAGGCCTTGTTTATTCCAGGTTGTCTCTCATGTTACTAACTCATGTCTGACACACTCGTCTTTGTTGCTAAGGGTATACCACAGCAGGAATGAGCTGGATGGAAGTCCTTCTAGCCCTTGCTTGCCCTCAGTGGCAGCCCAAGAGAACACAGCTGTGCAAAGCTGCCAGGGTCCCCTGAGGACACACAAAATTCAATGGCCCTTCATTACAGATCTCAGTGCTAAGGAAGGGACTGTAAGTAACTGCCCATCTTTTGAGAGAGGCAATCACATTTAGTCTCAATGACCTGTTTTCGTGGTCAATGAAATGGCTGAAAACAAAAGGATTACCATCTCTCTTTTCCTTAAATTGAGAATTAATTGAGACAAGGTGCTTTGGGGTCTCCACGGAGTTGCAATTTTATACCAGTAGGATCTGAATGCTCCAAGACTTGGGGAGCACAACTGTGACAAAGACTGTCCCAGATCCATAATATATTGGACAGAGAATTTCAATACTGAAATTACAGGAGATATCTTTGTCAAGATGTTTTCCTTTCTTTGTCACATCCCTGAAGTAATCAAAACCTTAGGAACACTGATCTCATACACTTGCTGCAGCTGAGAGGGATCTGACATTTTTCTGTTTCTCTGAGTCCTGGATCTGGTCAGGAACTAGGCAGCTTTTATGAAAGACTGTAAAAGCATGGAGAGAAGTACTCTGTACTCTGAAGTCCAAATTTCATCTTTCTTTCACTATACATCTCCATATGTGGGAGGAGCTGACTTGGAACCAGTTATGCTAGTTTTCTACCATCGGACCATTTCCCTTAGCAGTTTATGAAGAATGAGGCGTGGATGTATAATAATTTATAGATATTATATGCAGACAAGTTAATCTGTTTGGTACTATTCTGATAGAGTATAAAAGAGATCGCTGAAAGAAATCAAGAATAAAGGGAATAGGAAATAAAAATGCAGTCAAAAACTCTCCATTGTTCTTCTAGGAAGAGTAATAATCAGGCAAGGCTAATAATGCTGTTGTGGCTTGGCCCTCCAAAATCTGAGGCCAGGATCAAAAGGGATCATAAAAGACAATTAGATGAAAATTTCCACAACTATTAAAGAAAAGACTTGGGTTAGTCGTCATAACCAGGACTCCTGATGAGTCCTGAAAAGCATGCAGAAAAGCAGACAAACAGACATGAATTACAGAGGCTAGATGTCTCTCCCAAATCAGAGACAGCTTCACTGGAAATATCCTACACAAGTTTCATGGCAAAATAAGCTAATGTTTAGTTCTAATGGTTGTATGTTTCTTAGTGAATAATGCTTCACTTTGAAGGAACTATGTCTGAAATGCTTTAATCATCCACTGCCACTGGCTTCTGGAGTACACCTGGTACTTGCACAACATGGCCTGGCTTTCTGGAATTAAAACAGGTGTCACACACTGCAAACAGGTCAATTGCTGCAGACAGATTTGATGTCAGATGACTACACGGCTCAGTTTGTACGAGGACAACACAAAGAAACACTGGTTTTTAAGGGGCATCCTGAGGAAGGTCTAAAGCATTGCATCCATATGCGTGAACTATAAGACATTCATGCAGGGCAAGTTTTGCCTGCTTTCATGTGTCTGTTTATCATTAAGGTGAAGGATCTGATTGCCATACTGAAAAATTCTTCCTTCTGTGTGACATATAGAATTATAATCTGAATCATGAATAATATCCATATTGAATAGTTTGATTCTGTGGCTACAATGGGAAACAACAAAAAACAAATAACAAAAAAACAAATACTCCTTAACTTCAAAGGATTTGATATCCATAGCAGAATACTTTGCTGTTTGGGTCCACCTTCCAAATACAAATTCAAATTCTGTTCCACCCTAAGATCCCCCAGCTCCTTAACACAGCATGATAAACTACAAAGTATAAACAAACTCTCTTCCCAGACCACTGCAAAGCGTAATCCACACCAAGAAAACAAATCTCAAATTATTACAAGTAAACAGGCACAGTCATGGTATACAAACAGCTATTTGCACAGGCTTAATTATAGAACATGACTTGATAACTCATAATTATTGTTATTGTATTCATCTTAGGAGCTTGTTTTCTGAGGCAAAAGAGGCAGGACAGCTGATCCTGAAGGTGGAAAGTGTATGGTATATGGCACCAGAACTGTTTACTACATGAAAGAATGGTCATTGTCTTGATCCAATAACCCAGCTGAAGGCAATTGTGCTGCAAAAAAATCTCTGCTGCTAAAGAGCTGTGCCCTCTGAAGTCTTCATGCTGACAAAAATGGTAAAACAGTCTCATCCCCCCTTATGCAAAACGCTGATGTGGGCTGATGTCTTTCATAGAATCATAGAATCATCAAGGTTGGAAAAGATTCCAAGACCATCCTGTCCAACCGTTCACCTACCACCAGTATTTCCCCACTAAACCATGTCCCTTAGTACAACATGTAAACATTTCTTGACAACTTCAGGGTTAGTGACTCCACCACCTCCCTGGACATCCCATTCCAGTGCCTAACCACTCTTTCAGAGAAGAAATTTTTCCTAACATTCAATGTGGTGCAACTTGAAGCCTCTCATACTAGTGCTCGTTATGTGGGAGAAGAGGCTGACCTCCACCTCACCACAGCCTCCTTCCAGGCAGTTGTAGACAGTTGTAACATCTCTCCTGATCCTTCTCTTCTCCAGACTGAACAAACCCAGTTCCCTCAGCCGCTCCCATAAGCTCTGTGCTCCAGACCCCTCACAGCTTTGTTACCCTTCTCTGGATACACTCCAGGGCCTCAATATCTTTCTTGTACTGAGGGACCCAAAACACAGTACTCAAGGTGTAATTACAAAAGAGCCTTGGGCGTTTTGTGTATGCTAAAGCCAGCATTTGCAGATGCTGTCTTGCTGGCCTAGGAGCTTAAATAAGGACAATTTCAGACATCAGACATACATTTGATTAATAGTAAAAGAGATTCCCTCAATTACGTGTGGTCTGAGGGAGGCACTGAGCTGTAATAGCAGGGTAGCCAGACCGGTTATAAAGAGCCTTTCTCACTGCAATGAAGTTCGAACAGTGTTTAAGGTTTTTATGGAAGGGCTCTGCTGGGTATGTTTTTTTTGCAAGTTATTTGCAGCCTTGTTATCTTTCTAAAAGCTCCCTCAGGAACCACACAGCTTTCACTCCCTAACAGTTGAGGAACACACACTGCAAGTACATCTAGGGCCTGTCAGGGGCCAGTCCTTTCTGCTCTTACTTTCATTGTTTTCATAATGAAGCACGTTCAGAAAAAGAACTCAGATTTACCTGGAAATAAAATATTATTGTCAAAGCATACAGATGTAGGGGATGGGAAACAAAAGGCTGAGCGTAACTACTGGCCGACCATTGCTGCCGGTGGCACGCGAGAGGCGCCCTGCTGAAGGAGGGACATCCCCCCACCAGCCCCTGGCCTGCCAGCCTTGGGGACGCACAGAGCTGGCGATTAAATGCCCTACGTGTCGGTGACGGGCTGACCAGCCGTTCTCAGCTCCAGCAGTGGGGATAGAGGCAGCTGGCCGTCACCCAGCGGATCAAGCTTTCTCCTTTCCCAATCCCAATCTGTTTTCTTTTTTCATCGATTTCCGACGGCAGAAACTGAAGGCCCACGCTCAGGCTTCTCCGACCCCCACCACGGGTCCAGCACCAGCAGGACAGCCCGGGCACCGCCCACAGGGGAGCGCCGGACCCCTCACACAGCCGCACACGCACGCCCCCCTTCCCTTCGCCCCAACCCCGCCGCGAACGCCGGCACGGCTCCCTGTGCTCTGCGCATGCGCCACCCGAAGGGCGGGGGCTGTTTTCCTCCTCTTCCCCCGCTGCCGGCACAGCTGCGGGGCACGCGCGGAGCGGCCGGCGAGACGCGAGCGCAAAGGGGCGGCGGGGCGCGCAGGCGCAGACGGGGCGGCCGCAGCCTGAGCAGGGAACGTCTGTCGGTCGGTCGGGGCCGGGCAGGGCCGGGCGCGCCGACGGGATGGACGAGGACGTGCTGACCACGCTGAAGATTCTCATTATCGGCGAGAGCGGCGTCGGCAAGTCCAGGTGAGGGGCGCCGTGCCCGGCGGTCTCTCCGCTCGGCCCGGCCCGGGCCCCCGGCGCCGCGTTGGACACTCCGCCCCCACCTCCGCCTCTGCGCGGCCTGGGCGCGGCCTGCCCGGCGTTGGGGGGGGCTTCCGCGGCCTTTGCGGCCCGGCCCCGCTCGGGCTGCCGGCCTCCTTCTCTGCTGTTCCGCCCGGGGGGAGAGTGGCGGGGCCGCCTGAGCCGGGCGGAGGCGCGGCCGAGCCCTGCGGACCCTGACACGGGGACTCGGGCCTCCCTGTGCCCTCTGAGCCTTTGTCGTTGTCGTGGCGTGCTTACTGTGCTTACTCATCTTCCTGCTGCTTTGGGGGCCGTCCGCACGTGTGCGTGTAGTCGCACACACGTCCCGGTGCTGACGGAGGGGATGGGGGCACGTAAAGTACGCATCGGAGTCGGTCTGCCGCTGACTCTTCCGTTGCTGTTCTCCTGGTGTGCTTTCCCAAGTCCTTTGGGGCCGGTGTTTCGCATCGCTGTCGCATCTTTTGTCTAAGCGGCCTTCTTTTGTCTTTTATTTTTTTCCTTATTTTTTTGATAGTGCCATAGACTTTAATAAAGTGATTTATGAACGTAGGTCATCTGGGAACATACCACACTTCTTATGTTGATTATAACTATTTTCCTTTTTTTGTGTGCATGTAAGTTCAAACTCCTACTATGGCCCTAAGTAACCCGTAAGTTGCTAATTGGAGAAAACAACCAACACCCTATTAATTATAAATCTGTCAGCCGCTCCTTGGAGTTAGCTGCTGAATCAACGACCTGGTGTGGTAGGCCTCATGACAGACATGATTTGAGATTCTCTCAACTAAATGAAATCTACTCTTTTGTATGTGGATATGTGACACACAGTGTGAACAAGTGCATAAACAAGCACTCAGAAATGTATTTCTTCAAAACAGAAGAAATAGCTGTTCCTTGACTAGAACGTGTTGGATGCTGAGCTTGGGTTGTGGTTGAAGTCCTGACTTCTCATCCAAATGCTGTACACCTGAACCCTGTGGCAGTGTTGTGCTTTGTAGAAGATGTCTGTGTATGAAATAATGGCAAAATGAGAGACTGGCTGAGTTTAGCTCTCCAGGCTTACAAACTGATGTTTTTATTCTAGTAGCAGTATGAGGGTTCCATATTTTGCCTTCTTTAAGTAGAATTAGTTCTGGTTGTCAGTAAAATAGCTGCTCTTAAATAGCGTCTCCCAAAAAGTAAACAAGGCTTTGTTTTGTTTCCCTAGGCTGGAAATGAACAGAAGCTGTCAGTCATAGCCAGCAGCTGTCTGCCACATGGCAATATTTACTCACCACAGATGAATAAGGTTACTGATTTAAAGAAAAGAAATAGTGTACTAAGAAACTTTGTCTTGCCAAAATATTTACATTTGGTACAAGTGCTGTGGCTTATGGGTACTTCTAGGAAGGACGCTACTACTATAATGCAGGAGTAGATTTTGCTGGCATCTGGTTTATTGGTAGTAAACATTTGTGGATAGTGAGAAATGCTGTATATGTTAAAGCTGTCATGTACAGAAATGATACAGAACTGTAAAATGATTTGGAGTTACTTCTGCTGTTCAGTGTCTTTCTCTAATGGGTGTAGTCCTTATTCTGCTGCACGCCTAATTCCAGGAATTATTTCTTTGATGAAAAGCTGACTTGGAATTTTCTTCCCAAGCTTACAGAAATACTCTGTGAAACAGCATGAAACCAAGAGAATCTTACAGTCATACTGAGTTCTGAGGAAAGAGGAATAGAAGCAGATCACCTGACTGTTCAGGCAACTAATCTGACAGCTTGAGTGGCACTTCTTTCAGAGACATACTCTGTAATGGTTGTATAGAAAAGGGCTGGGCTCTTCTGACACAGCATGACTACTGTATTATTTTGTTTCCTTCTTTGTTTTATATTGCAGGGTGAAGATGGAAGAATGAGATGTATTTTTTTTAGCTATGTAATCTTGCTATTACTTTCAGATGTGTAATTTATAGGCTTTTGGCAAGCTGTGAATATGCTGCAATAACTAACTCTTCTTTCTTTTCCGTTCTCATCAGCCTTCTGCTGCGATTCACAGATGACACATTTGACCCAGAACTTGCAGCAACAATCGGTAAGTATGTGCTGATGCTACCTGAAAAAAATTTACACCAACTGTGGAATGAAATAGTTTGTTTAGACTTGCCAAACTGGTAGTGAAGTTCAGTCACGTCTGTTTTTCTGTGAGAAAAGAATGATGTGGATACAGTTTAGCATGTAGCAATAATTGGTGTATTGTCTGTACTGGGCTGTAGTTGTCCCATTTGTGGTAAAATATATCCTTGGCTGGGAAAACAGATGGTAAATGTCATCCTTGGTGAAGCTGTAAGCCATGAGTATGGGTAGTGGGAAGCTCTAGTACAACAATCTGCCAATCTTTTCCAGCACTTCAAGCTAAGATGGAATTGTAACAAACACTGTTATGTCTCCTACTGACTTATTTGCGAAGTAGCTATGAAGATGTTTGAATAGTCCTGAACTTGTGAGTAATATGATATTTGGGTAGCCTGAGTGTTAAAAATACTTTGGACTTTCTATTAGAGGATGTCAACTTCTGCAACTTGAACAGTACTGGAGCATGCTAGGCAGTGTGTAGCTTCTGCTTTTCCTGTACAAGGAAGAAATTACAACGTGTTTTATGTTTTTTCTAGTTACTAATCAGTTCCTTGGTAGCTAATACTATTGAAAAATATTGAAGAGAGCCGTGAAACTGGAGTTGGAGAACATAGGAGTGAGATCATGACTGTGTTGATATGATACCTACCAACAGTGAAATCGATTGTGTTTGTGGAAAGTGATGCAAGAATGCAGGATATCCTATGTAGAGTTGTATCATGTACTTAGAAGTTTGATTGTGCTTCCCTTGGTGGCCATCTGTGCTACATTAATAACTGAAGTAATGTAAAATAAAAGTAACTTCTCAATACAATGCATTTCAATTCTAAGACGTTTCTTACTTCCTCTACAGAGTTTTGGCTGAGGATTCTGATTAGGAGCAGACAAATTTAAGGAAAAAAATGAATCTAGGTCAGCTTTGTCTGTTTGTTTAAGAAATCTTCAATAATGTTAATAAGATACAGGAGCACTTTTCTTGTGGAGCATTGAGAAATGTAGTGATAGTGAATTTAAGGCAAGAAGAGGCTTAATAAATAGCATTACTTCTCTGTTTGGCTTCTGCTGGGTGTGACTGCCATGTGGGAATCACTGCTGTAAGCATATTAAAATTGGGGAATGATCATATGCAAAGGCAGTAAACAGGCACGTGTTGCTAAGAACTGCTGAGGCTTTCCTATTGGCGTTGTATAACTTCCTGAGTAGGTGTCAGGGGTGTTTTTTTCTAGCTGATATTACTGGTGCAGAACTGTGTGCTGGCCCAATTAAAACCAGCATGCTGACCTCTTCAGAAATGCAGGGATTGGGGTTTTATTCTGTAGATTTTAAAACTTCAAAAAGGACTGAAATTCACTTAAGGATGGAGATGTTTTCAGAGTATCCCTAACTTAACTTCATATATCTGCCTAGCAGGGCAATGATGACATTTCAGAGTTGATATTGAATTTGTAAATGATAGCTTTCATGTGCCATCAAGCCTGAATACAGTGCTTCATCACCGAAAGAACAATTTTAATTTGTCCCAGAAAGGACAAAACAGTCATTTAAGCTGCTTCTGTTTTCTTTGATAAGTGTATGCCATGAGGAAATAATTGCTGGGTTGTGCACTGAGGATGCACATTAATTTGCTTGTTTTAAATACAAACAATAAAAGTTCAGGTAGCATTGTGCCACTGTTTTCATCTTCAATTGTGTGATGCACAAATCAATATCTTATTAGTTATATATTAATATATTTAGGACCTAAATATATTGAAATATATATTGAAATCCATACATTGTGGTTTGTGACATTTGATTGCTGGGTAATAAGAAGCACAAATTTTCATGAGCAAATGAAACTGCATTATAAGTTAGTCATGATATACATTAGTGCAAGCTCACTATCAGACCATGTAAATCATCAGTCTCTGTATAGTTGAAGGGCTGCGGTGAGCTCTTCCCAGAGGTCTTTTCTTCTCTGGGCTGAATGAGAGCAGCTCCCCCATCCTGTCTTGTAGGGGATATCCTCCAGCCCTTTGAACATCCTCATGGCCCCCCTCTGCACTCCTTCCATGTCCCTGTTGTGCTGACTGCCCCAGGCCTGGGCGCAGTGCTGCAGGCAGAGCCTCATAAAGGCAGAGCAAAGTGGGGAATAATCTAGAGTAGATGCTGAAAGATCCTGATGTGATTCCTTCTCTTTGGGATTTGTCACACTGCACAACAGCAATTAAAGTTCTGTAGCATGTTGTCTAGAGCACTTGCGGGATAGCAAATTCCTGTGGATTTTTTTCCCCCCATTTAAATGAAAAGGGAACAGAATCTGGGTTGTACTTGGTTGTTCTTTTTTTTTCTTTAAAGCAGCAAAGCTGTGGCATCTCCATTTTCTGATGAATGTGTTACTGAGAGGCAGCCTTTCAGCTTTTAGGACAGGCTTTGTTTGTAGAGATGAAGTATTTGGGGGTGAATTCTTTACTGCTGCAGGACAAATCCTAGATGCAGAATACTGGGGTTTGCAAGATGGTGAGATGCCAAAACATGTTGTGAATCTGTACTTGAATGTTTTCTTGGGCTGACCAAACTCTGTTCCATTTTGAGTTTGGGGATGGAAGTCCTTTCTGCTGGGACTGCAGAGCACCATGTGTCTTTCCAAAATGTGTGGATTTACTACAAAAAATGTTGTCTTTCAATATCATCTGCTTACTGACTCTTCAATTGGGTGAGATGTCTTTGGCTTTTACTTAGAATAAAAAATGAAGAGAGAATACTGGGTTAAGGTTTGGCTGCAGCAAGGCTGGTCTCTTTCCTGTTGAGACGCAAGGAAAAGTGATCTTTGTGCCTTGCACAAACCTACAGCTACTAGGTGCAATATAAACTTCAAACTGTTTGTTTGTGGGAGTTTTTTAATTTAGGATTTACTAATAATCCTCCATTATTCTCAGGAGTTTGAACTGATTTGGATAAGTATTTTGGCTTCAGTAGCTTCTGCAAGATTAACTGTGTCCTGTTCTTCCTACCAGATCATTGTTCTCCTTGTGTTCTTTTGAGGCAAATGTGTCGCAGGGCTTCATCTCACGGATCAGACTGTGCCCCACCATTTTCTGTAGTTCTCACTGCTTCTGCCTGTCTCCTTGCTCTTTGTATGAGAGATGCTAGATAAACATGAAATGCAATCCTTATTTCATAAGTGAAGTAATGTATTGCATACATCTCTTAGCTTTGTAGCCTTCCTTACACTTAGAGTCCTTTGGCTCCCAGATGCCTGGTTTCTCAGTTACCTTTAACACAGATAACATGTTCCAGCTGACTTTGCACTTGATACAAATACAGCATGGCATGGTGGACTAAGAGCAGCGGCTGCATGAAAGGGACAGAATGGTTTCTTGCAGACTGTAAGTCTGTAGTCTGTTGGTGTGTAGTGCCGGGTCCCTTTGGCTCAGGCAGTATGTGCCTCCACACATGAGTACAGCATAGGACCATGCTTCCTTGGTTTTGGCTGCCTCTTAGAGTATGGTGGAAAGCATTGTCAGCTTTCTGTTGTCAGGAGACAAATGTCAACTCATCTTGCAAGCTTACAACTGACTGACACTGGTCACAGGAACATGTCTGTACTTCACTGAATCATTTACAGAACAGAAATGCACTGCTTGTTCTCTTTAACAATTTTCTAGAGGCCTGAAGTTTTCTACCAGCTTTCTTATATCATTTTTAAAAAATATTTGTCTTGCTTTTATAGAATATTTGTGTGTCTTAATCACTTGAAAAGATATATTTTAATGTGCTTTTTTCTTTTAGCAATCAGTCTATGATGCGTGGGGTTTATTCACTGTTTTAGTTTCTTAATTTATACAAATTGCTAGTGCAAATTTTAAACATTACCTCTTGATTTTAAGCTTATCAGCAAGGCTAACTTGAAGGTGCATGTGCACTTTCCATTAAATGAAAATTGCAGAATAGACACGACATTTGGTCTTTTAACTTAATGGGAGCACAATAACCTGGCTTTGAAACACAGTTGATGCTCTAAAGGGGGAGAAAAGTCCTTCTTGAAACTGCTGTGACATGCTTTGGGTTTATGTGAAGTATCTGATAGACTCGTAACACCTACGGTTATAGATTTTAATATGACATTATTATACTTCGTTTCACGGCTACCAGCTGATGGGGAGCAAAATGAAACATAACTATATCTGATCTCTCCCTCACTTGTATTGCCATAGTCTTTAACTTTGTCCTCCTGTTGTTGTGTGTAGCTTTCCTTGGGGAAGTGATGGGCTCTTAGTTCCCATGTATTAAAAATAAAATAAAATCCTGATGTAGAGGTTAATTATTCATGTCAACAGTAGAGCTGTTACCATGATGTCTGTCTGTGTCTCCATCTTTGTGTGCAGTACTTGTGAGTCCTAACGCTGCTGGAAGCCTTATAAGAGACATACTGCACGTTCAAATAACCTGGAACTTATTTGATATGCTCATTAGAGCAATTAGTGTCATCTAACAATATTTCTCACAGGATAGAGGTCATGTATTAGATCAGTCCCTGTCTATACTAATCTACCTCTGGCTAACCACACTGATGGGACTTAGAATGTTAGAAATGAGTTTACTTGCTCTGTTTCCCTGCCTTACTACAACTTCCTTGTTTATTTTGAAAGGGTGTTGTTTAAGACCAGTGACATGCTCAGGAACGTGTCTTTGAGTAATGAATTGAAAGTCAACCCATTTGAATTAAAACTTGAATGCTTGTCATGGAAAGCGTACTTTAATGTTGGAAATTTTTTCCTTATTTCCATAAAATATTTGAGTCAATGACCTAAAATGTCATTTTACAGAAGCCCTTTAATAAAACCTTATGTGTGTTGAGAACAAAGTGTGGAAGTAACCAATAGAACTTACTGCTGCTTGTTTTATGAGTTTGATTTTTTTCTTGTTTTTCCATTTCCAGAACATGTGGAATATATATTTGAAGGAGTAACTTTTTTTTTCCTTCTCCAGGTGTGGACTTCAAGGTGAAAACTATTTCAGTTGATGGAAACAAAGCTAAACTAGCAATATGGGTAAGTCTTGTCTTGTTCTTAATGTATCACTTTGTTTTGGGAATGGTGATGGCTTGTGTAAGGTATAGCTTGTATTGAATCATTTTATGTTAAATACCAGGGTAATTTGGAGGCATGGGGGCTTTAGTACCTGAAATTACTTACATTTATGATATGTGAAGTCTGCAGCATGTATGCTGCTCAGATTAAATTATACTCTGAACTTTGACAAGGAATCAGTGCTCTTAATAGTGTGAGGGTTTTCTTGTTCTCTTTGCTAAGCTGTTGGCACTTCAAATTGGAGGATGCAAAGTTGAATTTACTTTAAGACATACAGGCTTCTTTCAGCTCTGTCATGGGATGTGAAATTGCATTTACCATGGGTGTTTGGACTTAGATGTTAGAAGTGAGGCTCATACCTCTACCACGGATTTTGATGCTTGTTATAAAATCTTAGTGTTACAGCTGTGTTTCTGGCTGGCTGCTGCCCTGCTAGCTGTAGAACAAATGCTACACCAGAAATAATCTAATCGTTCTCTAATCCAGTTATTCACTGCACTTGACAGTTTAAATGTGTTTCCTGGGACAGACTATGCAGAATCTCAGAGTTAATGTGAGTGAAACAACAGAAGCAGGTGTAAATTCAGTTATTCAGATTGTTGCATACGCTAAATTACTTTGAGTCTTATATTGTGTATTCTGTAGGATACCTGAGAGCTAAAATAAATTCTGCTCATGTTCTGAGTAACAGAACTTTCTGGATGGCTTTTTAGGATACTGCGGGTCAGGAGCGGTTCAGAACACTAACACCCAGTTACTATAGAGGTGCACAGGGTGTTATTCTAGGTAAGTACAGCTTTGCATGCAATTTTGAATAAGTTGATGGTTTTCTCATGCATTGGAGTACCAACCCACCTAACCTTCCTATGCTATCTAATTGATTTTGAAAGTTTTTGTGTCTTTGTGTGGAACAGCTCCTATACTAAAAGATCTTGAGTTTTATGTCTGGCTACTGTGTAGTCCGTCTCACAGGTCTGAGAAACAGGGATTATGCATGAGTTTAAAAGCTGCTGCTTTGGATGTTAAGAAGAATTTCTTCACAGAGGGTGATAAAACATTGGAGTGGGCTGCCCAGGGTAGTTGTGGAGTTTCCAGCACTGGAGGTATTTGAATGTGTGGACATGGCATTACGGCACATAGCTTAGTGGTGAGACTTAGGAGATCATACTGATGGTTGGACATAATGATCTCGAACCTCATTTTCCAACCTAGATGATTCTGCAATTCTGTCAGCACTGCAGCAGTGTAGTATAAGTAACACTCTTAGAAGTGAGATGCTCAGTGCAGAAGGTCATGACATCCTCTAGCTGTATCTTCTGTAATGGTGTTAGTAAGTATCCTGTATCTGTGTTTTGCAGACATGGAATTCTTTGAAGATAATAATCTCTATCCTCTAAACCAGAATGTCTGAACATAACTGAATCTTAGAGTTGTTCTGCATTTGTATCATCACTGGTTGGAGCTGGTGAATGAAGTCTAAACTGGATTCCTTGGTTTTCTTTGTGTTTTTTTTTAATTCAAGAAACATTATTTTTGCTCTTGTTCTAATGCAGGGTGTCTTTCTTGGGAAAAAAATATTGTGAAATAATATTACTTATATCTTTCAGTTTATGATGTTACAAGAAGAGATACTTTTGTCAAGCTGGATAACTGGTTAAATGAACTGGAAACATACTGCACAAGGAATGACATAGTGAAAATGCTTGTTGGAAACAAGATTGATAAGGTAAACTTGGTTCAACTGCATTGAATGTTCTGCTAGTGTATTTTGCTAATAATATGTATTAATACTGTCTTATAGGAAAACCGTGAAGTTGACAGAAACGAAGGTCTCAAATTTGCAAGAAAACATTCCATGTTGTTCATAGGTATGTTATAGATACTTGCAGAGATCTTACTTGAGTTTTTGTTAGATGATGAAAGTAGCACTTCTGTAGGACTGAAGTTTTATACAAATTAGTGGTGTTTCTCAGCTGCAGTACATGTAAAGATAAGTTACACCCATCTTCTACAAATCTGTCTCTAAACGTGTCCAGTGGTCTAGCTTAACTGTGAATGAGTATACTCAAGTGCTCAGTAAGAATTAAGGGTGGGATACAGGTTTGATTGTAGTTTGACAAAAACTGTTTTTGCTTTGAGGTACTGCCTGGTTTCTTATAATTGTTAGGGTTTTTTTCCCCTTTAGTCCAGACCTACTTCTACTTACTGAGTTACAAACAGAAGCAAGGTGAATCAGGGAAAACTGGTACTAATAGCCAACTTTCATTATAGCAAAATAGCTGGTACTTGACAGACCTACAGTAGAAATGGAATGTAAAAAGAAGTGGGAGTATAGTTAACTTGTAAATGGTGGGTAGGATGGAATAGTGACTGTTCTGACCGGAGGAACGATGTTGGTCTCATTTTGCTGTGAATGAAATGGGTTTAAAATTAAATTAAAAATGTATAGTGAATTGATTCCTTATGCATAAGTTTGTTAATCCTTTCCTGTAAGAATCAGCCAGAAGTACTTTATAGGACTATCCAGTAGCAAAGCAGTTCATTGACATGCTCTGTGTTCCTCTGTGATGTAGATGTGTTCCTGGTCTGCAACTAATGACATGTTTTTGTCTAGCACTTTGCAGTGTTTTTGGTTTTAGAGTCAGATGTGAAAAGAAGCTCAAAACTGAGGTGCAAGCTATTAAGTGCATGGAATATAAAAGGAAGCATGAAACTTAATATACATGTGTATATTACATGTGTTTGTGTGTGAGCTAAGTATCTGTGTGACTGTACAGAAGAACAGGGCAAGCTTTAGTGGAACTGAATAGTTACAGATGGTTTCTGTTTGCTCTCATAATACACCCAGTGAGCAGCGTTTTGTGGTTTTGATGAAAGAAATATTCCTGAATGAGATTACCAAGAATTCTGCTCAATGCAGAAGAAATGAGACCCCTAATCAGTTTTTAACAGAACAGTTTTATCATGGAGGTTGACCCAAAAACCTACAGTATGGATTCCTTTGCTTCTAATGATAGTAGTGCTACAGTTCAGACAGCAGAAGATCTTCCAGTCTTTCTTCTTACTGAACTGCTTTCCACAGCAAAAATAAATATAAACTGTAAGTCTCCATGTATTCTAGTGACATTCAATCTAAAAGTTCGGTTAATAAAGTAGGAATTAGTGCAAACATCTGCATATGTGCTAATTATGATGCTGCTACATGTTGTAGAACATGTTGTAGAAGTTGTAAATCTAGGTGGTAGGTTGAGACTTTTCTGAAAGAGGAAGTACTGAACAAATTATTAAAAGCTGTGCTAACACTGCACTTCTTGTGTCACTTTTCCAGAGGCAAGTGCAAAAACGTGCGATGGTGTACAGTGTGCCTTTGAAGAACTTGTTGAAAAAATCATTCAGACTCCTGGACTGTGGGAGAGTGAGAGCCAAAACAAAGGTGTAAAATTATCAAACAAGGAAGAAGGACATGGAGGAGGCGCTTGTGGTGGATATTGTTCTATGTTATAAACTTTGGGAGGCTTATTCTTTGCATATTTAAACAGATAGTGACATCTTTCTGTAAATAAATCCATTAAATGCTATTTTTAGGGACCTTGCAGTTTGCACATACTTGTTTTGTATCATGGCAGTGAACACTTGTAGGAAAAATGTTCTGCAGCTTTCCCAGTTTGAGAATGTTATGGTAAGCATGCCCAATTTGCCATCTTCAGGTTTTTATAAAGTAGCATAAATAATGTGCAGGAACAAATGCACTAAAAGTTTTATGACTATATACATCCATCATGTAAGTATTCTAAACAGATCCATCTAACACATGCACATTACTACATTGTCTGCTTTCTGTCTCATTTTTAAATACTCTGAAATTATAGAACTACGTAGTGTACACAGACCTTGAAAACAGTGTAAGCTAAAATGTTACATTTCATCTCTTCTAGTAGATGCTTTTTTGATATTAAAAACACTATTATACAGTTCTTAGGTAAATGCTGAATTTTTATTTCAGCTGAGCTGTCAAAAATACAAATTGGCACAGGCCATAATTGATATCAGCACCTTCTGGAAGAGATGCCTTGAAAGCTTCCTTTGCAAAGCTGAGGGATGCCCTTTTTTCTTTTTAATCATCACTTCAGTTGATGGCTTAACTGGAGTTTTAATCCTGTGATATTTATATACTAAATTTGTGGTACTCTTGCACTCTAGGTTTTTATGATGCAGTCTACTCTAGGCCTGCTGTAGAAAGTCTTCATTTTTGGCAAGGAGTCTAAATGACATCTTTGTTCTTTCATTGTGAATCAGTTTGCCACTCTTCAGTACAGATGCCTCATTTTCTTAAATGTTTATAACTATCTCAAACTGTAGCTCACTATGGCTGTGAAGATCTGTATTATGTCTGCTTTGTGTGGCTACCTGTTTGGAAATATAACTTCCTATCACAAACACTAAATGGGAAGCTCTGGGGCTACTGTATGGAAAATACTATTACAATGAGTATTCACTTAAATTAACTGTATCAAAGCCAATGGTTTGTTTCAGAAGACTTGTATAGACTAATAAATTTTTTTTCCACAGTATTCAACTTTTCTAACCTCTTTCTATTGTAGAGTTGTATATTTTCTAGCACATGCAATTTAAACAAGGTCATTTCTTACAGAGCAATTATTTCTGATTTGTGAAGGACAAGACAAGGATGCTGTGTTGATTTTTATTTTTTTAATAATCACTATAGTGCAATCAGTAACCGAACTGTTGGGCAACTTCTTGTAAATATAGTGAATGACTGCCTTTTCTTACTGCAAGGTTTTGTGTACATGTCAGCATACATGATCTGTATTTTGCAGCAGATCTTGGCTGCTTCTGTTAAAATACACTTTTCTTCACATGGAAACTGCTTTCTATTCTGTTTTACACTTGCTTGAAGACAATATCAAAATTTGGAGATTTAACCACACTAGTTGTTTTTACCAAATATTGTATCTATAGTATTGTTGATGTAGTAAGATAATTTAAATATGTAAATGTAATTGTTATTAAATACACATACATATTATATTGAAGTGTTAGATTTGTATTACTGTTTCATGATGTGGAATGTGGGCTGAGCACATCTTAATATTAGTGTTGAGGTCACTGGTTCTTGTTTTGGGTAGGTTAGTAGCAGTGGAGACCTGTAGAAGCATTAAAGCTCTGAATAACTTATTTTGGTATGATTTCACTAATACTAGGAGAATGTTATAATGCAGGCAGAGGCCTGTAGTACTTCCATACCCATTTTTCCATCTGGTCTGGGTGCATCTTTATATTGGGAAAGGACTTAATTTTTAGTTTGTGTCAAAAAGATCCTTTTATCACAGGATTGAGATTCATCTTTTATTCTGATTCTGCCTAATCTGACAGTTTCTCTTCCCAAAGGGAGAGGAACTGCAGGGGACTCTGAATAGTGGCATTGTTCTGCAGAAGAATGAAGTCATTTGCTTCTTTCCCTGGAAAATTGGAGATGGGGTGAAGGGTGAGAGTAGTGTTCTGAAACAGCCTGCTTAGTAAGGCTCAAACAGAGCTGTCCTTTTTTTTTTTGAAGAGTTCTCTATTTGATGTGCAAGTAGATTTCTTCCTCTTCTAAGCATGTTTAGATATGTCCCTAAGGAATGGCTTTTCCCGGAGTCTCACTTCTTCCCTTGTTCCTTCTTCCATCATTCCTCTTTCAAGAAGCTGTGCACTGTAGGGGAGGTTTCCTGTGCTTCCAGTATGTTAGAGCGAACTTAAGGCCATGTGTTCTTCCTCTGCTATTTCTTTTGTTTCAAACTTTTTTAGAATTTTGTGGTTCCATCTTTCAAATGTTTCCATATTTCCATTGTTTTCTCTTTGCAGGTGAGTGTTGTACCAACACTTTTCCAAGTGCACTGTCACTGTTTGGCTGTAATGCAAGCATGTCTGAAACTACTGTGGAAAGTATCACAGAATCACAGAACGGCCAGGGTTGGAAGGGACCATGAATCTCCAACCCCCCTGCCACATGCAGGGTCACCAACCTCCACATTTAATGCTAGACCAGGCTGCCCAGGGCCCCATCCAATCTGGCTTTGAACACCTCCAGGGACGGGGCATCTACAACCTCTCTGGGCAGCCTGTTCCAGCACCTCACCACTCTCACAGTAAAGAATTCCCCCCTGACATCCAAACTAAATCTCCCCTCCCTCAACTTAAAACCATTTCCCCTCATCCTGCAGTTATCTACCTTTTCAAAGAGTTGATTCCCCTCCCCTCTGTAGGTTCCCTTTAGGTGTTGAAATGCTGCAATGAGGTCACCCCGTATAATGATTTCTGTCTTACTGATTTAAGGCTGGATTGCTTTTAGGAGCACGTGGAACCTTAATGGGTAGCTGAGGGATAAAAGGGATGATAATTACTGATTTTTTTTCATGAGGTAATGACAGCTTGCTCTTCTCTGGAAGAGTGGCCAGGTGCTGGAATGGGCAGGGAGGTGGTGAAGTCGTCCCTGGAGGTGTTGAAGAAACATTTAGATGTTGTACTGAGGGACATGATTTAGTGGGAACTATTGGTGATAGCTGGATGGTTGGACTGGATGATCTTGGATGTCTTTTCCAACATTGGTGATTCTATGAGCATCCTCTTTAATGGCAGATAGTTTTATAAGCAAATACTGAACCACAGTGAAGTAACTGGGATCATGAAAGAAAATTAAGCCTTGATTTCATTTCATTTATTTTGTTTTTAGTGTTGAAAACATCAAGCATCTGTTAGGTACCAATGGCTAGCAATGGTTGTCTGTAACCTTTGGAAGCCTGGAAGAATATAGCAGAGCAGCTAGATCACCTTGAATTTACACTTCACAATACTACTATTATGGTTTTGTCTTGAATTCCTCCTTTCACTTTTTTAATATATTTAAAAAAAGGGAAGATGATGGGACAGGCTTTTGGTGCAGGTTTCAAGATGCTCTTTTTATTGGTCTACTATTTCTGCTAGAAGGGCTTTTATCCAAGGGAAAGAGTCACTTTTCCCTGTTCTCCTACTGCAATAATGAGATCAGCAGCTGGCTCAAAGTAAGCCTTAACAAAATGAAAATGTCAGTTCAGTAAATCCCTGAACAATGCCATCAACTGTCTCATTGACCTTGGCAGTGCTTCAGGAAGCAGTGGTGGTCTTGATGTAGTTACGTATGGCAGTGGCAACTCCTCTGTGTGCTTTGTTTTATTTTCCTTGTCTGTCAGTTACCTGAAAGATGCATAGTGAATTGCAACAGTTCATTTAATCTTGGCCGATAGTTTTGTGTAGTTTAAAAATTTAATGTTTTGAGGCTGAACTGGATGTGATTTACTCTTTTTTTTCCTTAAACGCTTGCAGCACATGGCCAAGCTGTGTTTTAATCACCACAAGTTACTGCTGTTTAGCTACTGGAGGTGAAGTGCTGAGGGCACTGCATCCACCCCACCTGTGCTATCTTGTTCAAAGCTCCTGTAATAACTTACAATGTCTCCTGCCTCCTTGATAAAGCAGCATTAGGATGAGCAGGGCTGTCTCATGATGCCAGATACATGGTTGCATGGTTTATAGTGATAGTTGAGCCTTCAAGGGCAAAATACAAGGTGCTTTTCATGATGATTTTCCAACAGTGTGAGATTTTTTGAGGGGGGAAAAGGAGAAGCACTCCATTAAAACTGTATCAAAACTCAGGTTCTGTAAGGTTTCCTCATACTTCACTCATGAGTACCTGTGGGACCTGAGTTAAAAATGTAGGGGCCACATATAGGCAAAGAATTGTGAAGCCATGTTTCCAAACTGCTGTGTGCTTATCTTCCATGGCTGATGTCAGTGCAAGAGTAAAAACTGACCTTGTGCTTGTGCCAGAGTAACATCTGGTCCTGTAAGTTACAATAGTCCTGGAGATTAACTACTAAAGTTCTTGTAGTGCTGGTTTCTGTAGTGTCTACGCATAAAAATAATTCAAAATTCCTAGTGATGTTCCAGAACTCTTGGGCTCTAGTTCTTTATCTTACAAGCTCTAAAAATACAGAAGAACCGTTTTTTAAAAAAGCATCTAATTGCCATTAGAAACTTTTCTAGTGGAATGATCAGCTCTGGATTTACTTTGTTCTGGAAATGTCTTCTAGTTGGATCTTTTCAGTAGTTTTTGATTCCCCCATCTTAATGTCTGTCGGGCTGGGCTTTCTGATAAGATGAAACTATTGCGATGTTGGTAGAGTATGAACCTTGTTCTTTAACTTAAGCTTGAGCTACTCGTTGCTTTCTAGGGTTAGGAGCAAAGCTATAAAGCAGAGGTCAGGGAACAAAGTTAGCAATAATCCAAACTGTGAAGGTATTTACATATTTTCATATATGCTATATATGGATGTATAATCTCTGAACTTCAGCCTCAGACACATCGATTTCCTGTAATTCAGGGTAACACAGCCTGCAGCCCAGTTTCATCCAGAAGAACAAGATTGCCTTTTTGTACTGGAGGCAAGAGTGGGCTTTGTACACTGCCAATGTCTGAGCTTGGTATGAGAACAAAGCTGAAGTTCCTGGTCAAGTGGTAGAGTGCTGGAAGACAGAGACAGTGTCTGCCCCGGTGTGGTTTGATACTGAAGAGTATCCTTGATGAGGCTGGCACAGACCTGGGTCCATCTGGTCCAACCCCCAGAGCAGGGAGCCAGGCTTGTGTCCAGGTGGCTTCTGAAGTTCTTCAGAGAGGAGACTGCAGCCTCTCTGGGCAGCCTGTGCTGGTGCCTCATCACCTGCACTGCACAGAAATACCTCCTGGGTTGGGCCAAGAGTGTCTTGTCCTGTCACTGGGCACTGCTCAAAGGAACTCTTTGCTCTCTTCCCATCAGGTGTTTATATGCATTCACAAGCTCCTTGTGAGCCACCTCAGTGCTGAGTAGAGGGGAAGGATCACCTCCTCCTCTGCTCCGCTGCACCACTCCAAGCACAGCAGGACACCCCCAGGCTTTGGCAATAGGGTGGTGCTGCTGATTCAGTTCTGCTACACCTTTCTTCCCCCCATGTCCTTTTTTTTCCAGAAGGAGCTGAAATCTACGAGGCCCCCATTGGGCTTTAAAAGGGAGCCTCCGTCCCTGGGTGGGCTCGAACCACCAACCAACCACCAACCTTTCGGTTAACAGCCGAACGCGCTAACCGATTGCGCCACAGAGACCTGTGCAATTGTTAGCAGAACAATACTGACTGCATTTGCACTAACTGCTGCAGGTGGTGGCTGCGTGCAGTGAATATTGAGCATAGCCCACCACGTTCCTGCGCTGAGCTTGAGGTGTCTTTGTATCAGAATAGTGCAGGAGATGCAGAGAAATCTGCTGCCTACTGCAGGATGCAAAAGATGAGGTTCTTTTAATTTGGAGAAGTAGCTCACGTTGCTCAGGAGAGGAGGGCTTGAGGTGGTGGTGTTAGGCCATGCTCGTATCTCAGAGGTGGGTGAGCTGTACGCTTCCTCTAAGCCAAAGCTGCAGAGTGGCCCAGCAGCACAGTGCTTGCTGCGTGTATGGGCATGGCTGTGAGAACTCTGGCAACCTGTGTGGCTCTGAGCTTTAATGCAATTAAAGACATCTACTCATTGGAGCACAGGCTGGGTGACCCCAGGTGTCTCACTGTGCCTGGGGACGAGAGGTTGGGAACGTTGGCTGGCCTAAAGGTAAAGTGAAGATTTAATGGTTGAAATTACATATATATATATTTAATAGATGTGCTACCTCAAAGAAACCAGAGATTACAATCTGGTTTCTTATGGGCGTGTTTCTCCAGCCAGGAAAGGGCAGAGCCTTTCACTGTGTGTTCCCCTGCAAGACTGTACTTCTGATTACTCCTGACAGTATTGTTGGAGAAATCCTCCTGTACCTTAACTGCATGAGGATAAGAAGACGTGTCTAATTATTTTAGAATGAATTTGAGTAATTTGCTTTCAGAGGGTTAGGAAACATTAGGTAAGAAAAATGACATGGGGCGCGGCTGCAGATTCTGCTTTTGTCCTGAGATGGAATTGGAGGGCAGCTGAGTCCCATGGGCCTGAGAGCTCAAATGCAGCAGATTCATTGTAGGGAGAGGGGGAAAAAAACTGGAGAGCTGAACTTAGTATAGAACCTTCTGTGTTTTTAGGTATGTGTTAATAAGGGTCTTTCCAATGGTTTCCATGATTATTTGTTGGAGCATTCAAGCTTTGGCAATAATGTTTGAACTAAGAAATTATGGGTTTTCAAGACTCTGCAGGCATTACTCATACAGTCTTTTCTGTAACTTAGAGTTTGAGACAAAGCTTGGAGGAGAGAGAAGGCATTAAATTAACAGGTCAACCTGGAAAAGCCAAGTATTCAAGCAGGGAGGTCCTTTCTCAGGTCTGTGGAAAGGCTGCAGTAATGCTGTTGGTGCAGTGTACTGCTTTTTCTGGGTGTGAACAAATGTGTGATGAAATATGATGGGAAAGCTAACAGGTTTCTGTAGAAGCCAAAGCGTGAGTTCAAGCATAGGAATATGCTGCTTGCCTCTCTTCATCCTTTAAAAAGAAAGAAAAAGCCATCTTTTCATCCTCAAATTTCCCTCCTCTCAATATCTACAGGGGGCTATAGGAAAGAAGGGGGCAGGTTCTTTAGGAGGGTTTGTGGTGTCAGGACAAGGGGAAGTGGTTTCAAACTAAAAGAGTGGAGATTTATACTGGATATAAGGAAGACCTTTTTTACGCTAATGGTGATGAGGCACTGGCACAAGTTGCCCTGAGAGGTGGTGGATGTCCCATCCCCAGAGACACCCAAGGTCAGGCTGGATGGGGCTCTGAGCACCTGATCTGGTGTAGGTGTCCCTGTTCATTGCACGGGAGTTGGACCAGATGACCTTTGTGTCCTTTCCAAATCAAATGATTCTATTATAACATATATATATATTTGCTTCCACAGATGACCTCTTCCACTGTGTGTGTTTGTTTGTTTTTGTTTTTTGTTTTTTGTTTTTTGTTTTTTTTTGTTTTTTTTTTTTTGAACCTCACCAGGGGATGCTTTTCTTCCTGCTTGGCTTTATCTCCTTTGCTGTAATTTCTTTCTCTGGGTCTGCTACTGACAGCGACATTTGCAGGTGATGCTTCCATGCTGAATGGACCCAGGCCGAAGGCTGTCTTGTTTATGACAAGTAAAAATGAAAAAACCAATTACATTTCTTGCTAGACTGGAAAGTTGCTCATGGCAAAGCAGTGCCTTTTTAATGTTTTCTGCTTTTTAGGGTAAATACAGTGCAGAACTAGGAATGCAAACTCACTCTTAGCATTTGTTCTGTTTATGCATTTTCTGTGTGGAAATGAATCATACAATCATATCAAAATGCTTAAACCTAATGATAGACTTAATTCTTGGTGTGACTGAGGAGAACAGCTGGACTGCTTTGTAGCTCTGTAGTTTTATTTTGTATACAGGGAAACATCTTTGTTAAAACTGAGAGTTCTGCTCAAGCATCTTGTGGTAGCCTGAATGTTGCAGATGAGGTATTCTGTCCCCTGGAAGCAGTGCTGCTGGGGCTCCCAGGCTGAGGCAGATCCCTGGGGCTCACCAATGTCAGCAGTGCTGTGCTTCAGGAACTGGGTGAGTGCACTGGGAAACACAAATACACAGAGGGAGAACAAGTGATGAAGAGCCCCTGATTTCTTGGGCAGGTGTTGTTTTTCTATGCAAGTAAATCATACAGTTGAAAAGCAAATCGCTTCAGTTGTTTACATTCACATTTTATTTTTCTGCCCTTGTGCTTTGTCCTGAGTAGTTGCTCAATGACTGCATGGTTGCTGCAGCCTTTGGCAGCCTGTCCTGCACCTGCAGCAGGGGCCAAACCCTCTGTATCTGTCCTTGCAAAGATCTCTAGGCACTTATATGGCATAACAAATATGGGGAAGTGGGGGAGCAACTTAACAAGAGGAATAAAGGAAGAAAAGTAGCCCTGTGAGGTTAAAGATGCTATCTATCTCTCTGCCTCTACCAATCCCAAACTGCCTGCAAGACAAATTGTCGGCAAAGCCCATTTGTAGGAGGTCTGCGCCTGTTGCTCAAGTGCATGTAAGTGTCAGAAGAAAAATGACAGCAAATCGTGTAAAATGCGTTTCAGCTGTGAATTTGTGTGTGTTCTCATTCTCTATGACCTCTGTCTCCCACATGGACTTTCCTGTAGGATTTGCCATAGTTAGAGGAGTTATCACCAAGCAGAACTCTCCTCAAGAGCTTGTATCTTTAAAGCAACCCATAGAAAAATTCCCCTTTTGCTTGTGTGCAACTGACTTTTATGAACTCCTGTTGAATCTCCTAATCCCGTTTTGGTCTTTTGGTGCAATTTACTTTTATCCCAAAGCTCAGCTCTGCGAATTTGCCAAAGAAAACACCGGGCACCATAGAAAGACTGGTTTAAATGTAGCTGCTTGAGGGAGCCTGGTAGGGAAGTTTAAAAAGACAAAAGTCAATGTGTTTTTCATATCTTTATATATATAAAATCTTTCCTTTATGCTCTGATTAGGGACTAAGTGGACCCTTGAAACCACAGTCTCTTTCCTTACTGAAATTTTATATTTCTCAGTTAATATGGGGCAATTAAAGTGCTGGGATTTTTATTTAAAGAGCAATATGAACATTGTAATAAGATATTTGTAGGCATAACTAAGAAATGCTGCAAAACTGATGAAAGAGAAGATAATCCATTTGTCTCAAGCATCTGTAGTTCTCCATTAACTTAGAGTGGAGCTCTCCAGATCATTTGCTCTTTGTAACACTTTGAGATGGGTAGAGTTGCTAAGTCATGGCAAGACCGGTATGTATTTCTGCAGAAGCATTTAGATGTTCAGGTGGCAAACTCACTTTTGAGTATTTGGGTACAAATTTTTATGTGAAATCTGCCAAGGACAAAGAAACCTTCAGCTTGAACTGCCATGCCTGAGGTCCCATCTGGTGCAAACATGAAGTCAAGTGGTTCTTTTCCTCCAGTGTGTATCTGTGGCTTCTTAAAAACTTGGTGATGCTATATATGAACTTCACGTAGTGACACTTGGAATAGAGGGAAATACAGATCATGGCTTGACCCAGAAGCCATTAGTTTGTGTACCCAAGGGTGTCTGAGTACAGTTCTAACAGCGTGGATTGAGGTAAGAAGGCACCATTACTCTTCTTCTGGATTAGAGAAAACCTCAGTTAGAGTTTAGTTTTTAGAACAGTAGAGATGATGTGCTGGATATATATGCTCTTGCAATATACATAGCATTTACTGATATCACATAGTTTGGGATTTTTCTTTATACTACCTGATACTGATGAAGGAGCAAACTCCTTCAAAACCTGTGTCATTTCTCTTACTGCTTACATTGCACTTTCCCTAAAGAAGGAAAATGTTTCCCCGGTGAAACCTATGCCTAATAAACAGCATTTAAAGATGTTTAATTTTACAGCTATTCTACTTCCTGGTCAACATCAGTTAGTTAAAGACTTGGGCTTTTGACTGGGCTCAGGCATCACTTGTCTCTTACATAACCCATTTGGTGCAGTTCCATGCAGTTCTGAAGAATATAAAAGCCCCCTAGCAATCCTCTTTGTTCTGTAGTTCTGCTCTCTGGTTCATGCCTCCTAGCATGTTTTTGTGTTTTTAGTCTTTATTAATGGAATACAGTATTATCTTTCTACTGCGCTGTCTGGGGCCTACTTGTGTATAGTTGGCCTGTAGTCCAGGGCTTCCTACTTGCCTTTTTGGATACTGATACAATACTGCAACTTCTCTGCTGTGTGGAGTTTTCAAAAAAAAAGTGTTTGTGTGAGTGCAGGACTCTCACAATGTTATGCTCTTGTCATGACAGAGTAGAGAACTAAATGCAAACAAATGCCTTAGCCTTCCTGCTCACTCTCCTCTTGTGGGCACTCCTTGTCTGAGATCTCTTTTTTATCCTGCTGCGACAGAAGCTTGTGGAGGGATTCCGTTTGAGACTGTACACAAATTATCCCAGCAAAGCTCCCTGCAGTCCTGCATATGCAGCTCTTTGTGCCTTACAGATGGAGAAATTACAGCCTGGTCTATGTGCTGGCTTCAGGCTTAGCTGGAGTACTCTCTCTTATCCTAGTAAGTTAAAAGTTACATCTTTAGTAAAACTGGTTCTGTTGGCAGTGCAGAGAAGGCCAGAGATGGAGTGCAGAGAATGGC